ATGGAACTGGATATATTGGAATTACAGCACATTGGTTGAGTAAAGAATTTGAATTAAATGAAATCTTACTTTGCTTGATTCCGATGCCATATCCTCATATCAGTCAAGCAATCAGAGAATTTCTTATTCAAAAAGTTCAAGATTTCAATCTACAAGATAAGATTTTGTGTGTCATTACAGATAATGGTAGCAATATGGTAGCTGTCATAAGAGATTGGGATGGCATAGAAAGATTACCATGTACTGCACATACCTTGCAATTATCTGTCAACCACACCCTAAAGAAAAACCACCAACAAATTCATCGAATTCGAGAATTGGTTAAGCTTTTTGACTCATCCAAACAAAGCCAAAGGTTGGATGCTGCACAAATTGAAATATCCAAGCAAAAACGACGAAATGACATACCTTCACATGATCCAATTTTATCTGATGACTCTGATTATGATGGTGATTCAGAAGATGTGGAAAATGAGGTATCAACTAATTATCCTATTGATAAATTTATTTCTATATTAAAAAATGTCAATGATGTTCCAACCCGTTGGAATTCTAAATATTGATCATGAAGAGATTAATTCAGCTACGACCTACAATCAGATGGCTTTCAGCAACATTACCATTTTGAGATGATCCAGATGCACGAAAAGATGGATGAAAACTGCAACAATTGGTATTACGAGAAGAAGAGTGGAGTTTTGTTCAAAGATTACTTGAGATATTAGAACCTTTTGATAGTGCTTCTGAATATTTCAGTGCTGGACGATATCCTACCATAGCATTTATCCATCCTTTAATGGAACCAATGAAATTTCATTATGCTCAAAGTGCAAATTTTGATGAGAATGGCTATGAAAATGAAGGTACAGAAAATTCTTTATTAATTTGTTTGTTTATTTATTTATCTTAATATTTAATTATATTAAAATTTCAAGAAGTATACAATTTTGATTCGGAATCTGAAGATTCATCTGAAAATGATCTGGTCGTTGCCACTGAGTCCCAACCTAATACACAATCTCTTAACAATCAAGAAAACCAATTAGAAAGTGATTCCAAGTCAATTATAAAAGAAATACAAACAATTATTTACAACTCACTATTTGAATATTGGAACTGTCCATCAAAAATTTGCCTTCTTGCTACATTGTTGGATCCTCTATTGAAAGAAATGAGCTTTGCAAGTGACAAGATTTGTAATGACACCATTCATGAATGTCAGAAACAACTTTACCAATTGATACAACCACCAACTGTAGAACATACCACTTCATCCAACTCAACCACCCTCTCTTTTAATAACATGTTTGCAAATGTTATATTCGGGACTCAAAGATCAAGTTCTTTGGATGAATTAGATTATTACCCTGATTTTAGATGAACACCTGTGGCTCTTCGTAATTCTGATCCTCTTTTGTGGTGGTGGCAACAACAAACTCAATTTCCAATCCTTTCAAAGTTGGCATGAAAATATCTTGGCATTCCTGCTACCTCTGTTCCCAGTAAGTATCTTTTTTCAGATGCCGGTAATCACATTACTCCACGAAACTCCAATTTAAAACCAAGATTAGTTTCTCGAATGTTATTTCTAAAAAGAAATGACAACTTTATCAACATGTTTCCTAGTTCTTACCTGTATAAGCAAAAAAAGCATAATCAAATGGGAGAATAGCTCTTTTGTTTGCTTGATATAGTGGATGCCACAAGGGCACAAAAAGGAAAAAAAATAGCCATTGATTCAAATAAATAATTGCGTGATAATGATGATCTGTACAACCATTTTATTTTTCGATTGATGAATACTTAATTTGGTTGATCAGTAGAACCGGTTGGACTTGGTTGGAACCGGTTCGCTTAACCGGTTAAGGGTTTGGATACCCGGTTCAAGTTACTACATTTGACAGAGTCACAAGATATGGGAGAAAAAGATACAAAGTAGGTATTACTGCCAAGCTAGTTAAGGGAAAAACCATCAGCCAAAAGATTGAACATATTATTCTTGCCCTGGACTCACCTAAAAGATTTCTTACAGTTCACAGTAAGGGAAAAAATGAAGAAATAAAAATCATCACCATCTTTGGAAACCAACAAGCAGCTGAATATATAACCACAATCACATTTCCAGAAATGGAAGATCATAAGTAAGCACACAAGGAAATCAGACATCAAGAAATTAACAAAGGAAACTTCATAGTCATGTGGGACATCCACTTGAACACAAAACTCATTGAAGTGAAACAGGTGTTTTCCAAATATTGAGTAATCCAAGGAATCACTATAAGTATCCAGAACCTATGGCAATGTGCCACAATAACCTTTACAGACAGATTAGTTAAAGACAAACTAATTAACCAAAGAAGTATCCTAATTAGGGGAGACTCAGTCAGAATCAACAATGCAAAATGATTACTAGACCAAATGAGGGCAAGACATGAGATTGCAGCCAAACTAATCAATTTGTCCCCAAACACATCAGCATGGGACCTCGAAAACATTCTCACACAATGCAAAGGGCAAACATGTTACATCCCTAGAACAGCAACAACAGCATACAAGCCTAGAAGATTTGCAATCATAAGCTTTACAACCCAAGAAGATCTTCTAAAAGCAGTACAAGACACATACACTCTTGGAGAAACAGAACTTATCATCACACCAATCATAATCAAGCTCTGTACAATCTGTAACTCTGAGAACCACATCACCAAAGATTGCCCAATAAAGCTTTGCCACCAACAATGGCAGGAATACTGCAACATCAATAGATCAAGATCAGATGGGCAAAGCAGAGCAGGATTCTATACAACTGCATTCAAAACCTAAACACAAAAAAGAGAAGAAAACCCACAATCCCTAACAGAAATCAGGAAAGATAAAGGAAAAAATCACAGAACTAGATGAATGCATCACAAACCTTGAATTCCACAATGAAGAGTATAATGAATCAATGGTAAGTGAAAAAATCAATGAAGAAGATTGAAACAAACAACCAACAGCAACCCCAGAATCACAAAAAACAACATAAATGACATCAGAAGCTGCCAAACACAACTGTTTGTCTCTCTAGATGGAATGCAAAACAGTATGAATCAGATTGTAGCAACAATGGACACCTTTGCTAGAATCCCAACCCAATCACACAAATCAAATGGATAATACAACCAGTGATATCTCTTCAGCCCAAGCAAACAACTCAAACAATAACATGAACACCACAACATCAAATTTAATTACAAATGAACAACTCAACAACACCTTTTCATGGTCAGACTCAGAAACATCACAAGAAGGTACAACAATAATACAGGAAGAAAACCAACTCCAAAACATACACTAAATCACACAAAACACAAGCAACCAAATGACAGTACCAGTAACATCAGAGAACATCAGCAACAATATAACAGATTCACTTGAACAATCACCAACCAGCATAACACACAACATGAGGGTATTCAACAACCCCCTCAAAAAAGCACTATGGAAAAGCATTGAATAGACAACAAGGTAAACATAGCTGTGATTATAGAAACACAAATCACAAATGACTCTAGTAAGTATTGGAAGGTTCCAGGCTACCAAAACTTTGCATCAGAAGATAATAAAGGAGTGGGAATTATTATCATGCTCAAAACAGAGATCACACAACACATAGGTGGTGTAGACAAGTTTCCAGGAAGAGGTATCTGCATAGACTTATACTACAAAAACAACAACAAAGTCAGTATCATTGGAATATATGTTTCAGCATCTCTCATCAGTAACCACAAACAATTTTTTAAGTTGGACAAACCAAAAAATCTGGGAAAAAAACAACAAAGACTTCCTCACTATCACACTGGGAAACTTTAATGGATTAGAAAAACCAACTGCAAAAACACAACCTACGAACTCAATTCTCTATACACTCATACAATTGGGCTACATAGACATATTCAGATTTCACCACCCATCCAAAAAAGAATACATATGGCAAAATAATAATGGAGCTGCAACATGAATTGACTACATCTGGCTATCTTTAAACCCAAATTGGTTCACACTAAAAGCACACATCATACCATCATAATTTATTTTCAATAGTGATCACAATATCACTATATGCACAATACACACACCTATAGGAGATGATTAAATAATACCACATAACACATCTCTTAAAACAAATGTATTCAATATCAAAGTGACAAAGGCAAATCATTGGAAGCTTTTTCAAGAAAACCTGGGTAGATAGACTCTGGAACATCACCTGGAATAGCATTTGTACGATAGCAAAAAGATATGTCAAGAAAGCCAATTCAAAAAAGATCCCATACATAAGCAAACAAAAAACCACTCCCAACCACACAATCTCAATCAAAACATTGGCTCAGTTTATAATCTTGGGAAACTTGTACATCTGGCTAACATGTACATCAAAAAAAAAGAGAAAATCAAATACAATAGTTAAAAAAATCAACAAAATGACAAAACTTTTACAAAAACAAAATATATCCATAGTAAACTTCTCCCTCCAGAAAAGCATCAACCAAAAAACAAGATATCTGGAAGAAGTAAAAGACCTCTGGCAAGCAATGAAGAAGATAACCAACCAAGAACTACAAAACAACATAAACACTCAAATCAAAGAAGCCATCCAAAAAAGAATGGATCAACAATTGAAATGAACACAGCCATCATTAAAAATACAGAAACAATCATCATTACAGATCTAAAAGAAATCAAAGAACTGGCAAAAAAGCATTTCAGTCACCAACCAGTACACCACAACACATTACAAATTCCCACAGAATGGCAAAAAGAATACAAGCCAAGAGACAACATACAAAAAGGCTGGTATACAACAGTACTACAAAAAATACAACCATCAGAGATCAGAAAAACCATCACCAAAACAAGTAAAAACTCAGCTCCTGGCCCATCAGCAATAAACTACATTTGGAAAACAAAACCATATAAAGAATAATGCATATCTTCAACAAAATTCTGGATACAACCCTAATTCCAACACAGTGAGAACACAACCTGGTATATCCAATTCCCAAGAAAACTGACTGGCAACATGATCTCAATCATACCCACCCGATCATCCTAATGGAAACAATCAAAAAGATTTTTACAAAAATCATAAATAATAGGCTGGCAAAGGTCTTAACTCAACATCCAATCCTCTCACTCCTCAACAGGGCAGGTCTGCCAGGAGGTGGCACAAATGAACCCATCTCAATAATAAATTATATTCTGGAAGATGCAAGACAAAACCAAAAAGAATGCTGGTTAATCAACCAAGACATCAGCAAAGCATACAACTCAATCAAACACAATATCTTGAAAAAAGTACTGCAAAGAATCAAAACTTCAGAAAAAATGATTAATATTATACTGAACCTTAACAAAGACCACAAAAACAGAGTAATCACATGTCATGGGTTAACTGACAAATACTCACCAACCAATGGTATAGACCAAGGTGATACAATCTCCCCACTGCTTTGGTACATATACTATAATCCTTGATTATCAAAATAAGTGGCTAGAAACAGTCAGAGATTCTCAAGTCCAAATACCTGTGGTGGCATATATGGATGATGCAACATGGATCACAATGAACAAGAACAATGGACAAAAATACAAAACATCACAGACACCTTTACCCAGTTCAAAAATCTTAAACTCAACCCTGATAAGTCAATATTACTGACAGTCAATAATACAGAAGAAGCAATATTGGAGTTCAACAATCACAAGATTACCAAAACTCACAGAGACAAACCAATTCGAATCCTAGAAGTATATATCACACAATTAGGAAAAACGACTTACAAAAAAAGATTATTCAAGACAAAATCAACTATATTACCAAAACACTTAAAAGAAATTATATTACAGATAAATAATGTAGATATATTCTCAATCAAGTCCTAATACCCATAATAGAATACCTGCTTCAAAACATTATACTGAGTGAAACAGAATGCCAACAAATAAACAAGAAAATTATAGCAGTAATCAAAAACCAAATCAATATAGCATGTACAAGTATAAACAGTGACAAAAGAAAGATTGCAAAACCTACAAGAGCAAGCATGAAGTATACAACCAGTTACAGTCAAAACAACAAACAATCTAAAAAACCTCAACAACAACTTTATCAGCAAGTTAATGACACTATTCAAAGAAAATGACATATACATAATGCATAGTAACACAGCTCTGCAAACACCAAAGAACTCCCTGCTACTAAAGATGGGTTCCTAAATTATTTGTGAGGACATAATTCAAATGTCCCTTATTATTAAAAATTTTCATTTCTATAT